GTCCTGGCAGCCATTTTCATTATCTGTGTCTGTTTTTGGCCTGCAGCTCCGCTGCGCATTTAGTGGGTAGCATTTCAGCTGCTCAAGTCTGTAATGCAGCTGCCGGCCTGCTTCTGGCTCTGTCTCTGACTGGGGCCCCTTCTCTGCCTCGGACCGGCCTGGGCGGGTGGAGTACAATGCCAAACAAGCTGTCAAATGAAGCCCATTTTGTTGTGTTCCGCAGGCTCGCCGGCAACCCAAAGGGTATTACGCAGTCGAGCTTTGGGTGGGCGGCGGTAGGCGGGACGGGTGTGCTCTTTACTTTATTTTTTACGCCTTTTGCAAAACTATGCGCATTTCCATGCTGCTCACTTTTTCATAGCATACTTTTCCCGGTGCTCGACTCGACTCAACAAAAGTCCTTCGCGTTCACACTCCAGTCAGACACACAGCCAGCTAGCTCGGTCTTTATGTCACTTTTATACCCAGAGCCGGAGCATCTACCCTCTACACGACTCCCATTCGTCTGTCAACGTCTGACAATGTCTGTAAGCGTGCTGTTTTCTCTGTTGTCTGTTCGCATTGCATTTTCACTCATTGCGCATATTTTGCAGCGATGCGATGCGACGCGACGAGATGGCAAAGAAAGAAGCCAACAGCAGCAGCAGCAGCAGCGACAACAATAACTGCAGTAGCAACAACAACTGCAACTACTGAAAAGACTTTGCTAAACAAAAAACAACCAACAACAACAACAACAAGTGTTTTCAGCAACTAAACAAGGCAGCAAGCCTTAAGTAGCCATCAGCGCGACCCAAACATACTCAGTGATTAGCTGAAGCAATGAAGAGATAAAAGTTTTATCATAGGTCTATTATTATTGTCTTTTATATTTCTAATTTTATTCTATTTATTATTTATTTTAGACCAAGCTGCAAACAAACTCTTTTTATTTTTCTATTATTATTATTATATTTATTTAATTTAAATATTTATATGTTATATTCTTTATATTTTCGGCTGTCAACGCCTTTCAGGGATGCCTAGAAATGTTGCCTTTCAAATAGCTCTCAAGTAAATTGCCTAGTATATTCCATATACCTTTCCAGCACCTATACAGAGTATTTATAGTGTGGGTGAGTAACATAAAAAGAAGTCGGGCTGTACGCGGAGTTGTGCTTTGAATATTCAGTGCGTCATTTTGTATGCTCACTGCTCCGTTTTTGTTTGTTTTTTTCCCCTGTGCTGTGCCGCCTGCGACGGGCGGAGTTGTGCCTTGTCGCATGCCAGATTATTGCATGTGATTTTGGCGGCTAAGCCGCACTCTTTCTCTACCACTGCCACCCACCCGGCGCCCGCAGTCGCCTGTTATGCTGTTTAATGTCAAAGCACTCAAAAGTCAATGGTTCAAAATCGGGTCACATTGCTATGGCTGCTGTCATATCCTGGGCTCTCTCCTGTTGAGCCAAAGAATACGCAGGTATTAGCCTCTGGCGCCGAAACCCTTCAATGTCCAAAGAACATAAAACAACAACAACAACAGCAACAGCAACGGCAATGTCAACAACAACCACAAACGTTACGCAGGAAACAACCGCGTGACATGTTTGCCCCACACTAATCGAAAATCAATGTTGTCAGCAGCAGCAGGAGTTCATTCCCCATGGAGTGCAAAGGAGGGGCGGCGGTTGCTTCCTGCGCTCGCTCTCAAAGGATAAACAGCTGTTTGCACATACTATATTATTTACAGCGATCAAGCCATCTATAGCAAATGCTAGCGGCATTCGCATTCGTTTGCTTGACTGATTACCGAGTCCCGCCGCACAACAAGCAACCACAGCCATCTCCTCGTACCACCCAATCCCTCTCCTCGCTTTCTCTATGTTTTCATCTATTCAGCTAGCGAGACATCCTGACGATTGCAGCTGCTGCTGTAAAAATACAGCAAGTGATTTGACAAAATTCTTTCCATTACCTGTATTTGCCAGGCACAGAGGGAGTTTCATATACATACACACATATATATACACATACATGTTTACATACTCAATGGCATCCGGTGTAACGCTTTGCGCAAGCAAACAGCGATACCTGAAATCAACGAATCGTATAATTTGATTTCTTATACCCCTTGCCAAACGTATTCTAATTTCGTAACGAACTGAGGCAGCCAATTTTAATATTGTGTATTTGTAGAGAAATGTTTGCATTTTATGATGCTTTATAGCAGAGATCAAAGAGTTTTCAACTCAATTAAAGATCTCCTAGGTGCAGCCTTGATCCCTCACTTAATCAAAGATCAAAGAGTTTAATATCTTTACATTTTCAATTCAGCTGCTTTGCTCTTAGTCTAGCCTTCACTTATCTCTGCTGAAGAATTTTATATCTTTAGCCTAATTTACTGGCTTGATTCTTCACCTAACCTACTTTCATCAGAGTACTTAAACCTGGTCAAAACAAATGCAAATGCTTGACTTATTTTGCTTTATGCGCAGCTCGTTATCATTGTCGTTGCAGTCCCAATGCCTCCTGCTACCTTAATCAAGTTGCATTCATTTTCTTTGCCTATGAATGTGTCGGAGCAGTTGCATTCTTCTGCTTCTGGCATTAACTGCTTTAAGAATCAAGCAACTAATTACATAAATCTGAGCAGTCTTAAGTAGTTCACGCTGCTCCAATTCCTCTTAGCCTCAGCCCCAGTCGTCTTGGCCCTCCCTCAACTCGTTGCGCCTTTCGCTCGGAGTCGACTGTCAGATACTTGACGGGCTTCTGGGCGCGCCGTCAAGTGGTCGCCGCCGTTGCCAGCCGCAGGGCGCTCTAATTAGATCTCGAGTTGGGCCAGAAGTACGCGACAAGTTCAGCTGGTGTCAATTATGCAATTGCAACGCTATTTCTATCGCTTTCTCTTTCGCTTTCGCTTTCCATTTCCATTTCTTATGCACTTTCTCTCCATCTCCTTTCAATTGCAGGGGCATTTTGCATCAGAATCAGCAGGACTACAAGTCAGCCGTCGAGTGTTTTCAGCGCGCCATCAAATTTCGGCCAAGCCTGGCAGGTGAGTGCCTCAAACGAGCTAACTATGAGTACTTTAACTAG